GTGGTAGAACTGACAAGAATCTAGTGTATTTCATTGAATGCACCTTTTCTTAATAATGTATTGTGCTCCGGACACTGTGCTACGCAGTGATGCACAAGGAAAGCACCAGTGAGGAATGAACAACACGTCACCCTGCCGTCCTCCCTGCTGGGCCACCCTCTCAGGCAAATGGAGCGCAGTCTCATGCTGGAGACACCGCATGATCCAAAATGATGCGCCATGCTCATCACAGATTTGGGTTATGTGATTATCTCTTCTCTCCCCTCCTCTCTCATCCCCTCCCCTCCCTCTCTCTTTCTCTTTCTTTCACATACACATATACACACGCCCCGCTTTTTTAGAGAATTCATCAAAATGTGCGTCTCCAATTCTGAAACATGACTGCTATCATTTCTGGTATGATGGGACTACTCCTTAAAACTCTGCAGAATGGGAGGGCAAAGAGGTCAAACACTGGTTAACTCTGCTCGGCCCCAATATTGTCAGTATGGCACAGAAGTCACACTTTGAAGTCTTTTAGACTCTTAGTTGTCATCAACTTTATAGATATCAGATAGGCAACTGGTGTAAACCATGCGAACACCAGTTAACATGTTAACAGAGGATAAAGGTTCTTGTATAAAGATATTGAGACCACACGTGTAAGTAATTATGGGCATTTCTTTTATACACATCCTAGTGCTATTACATTTATTTATATTTTAAACACTTTAGGTGCCAACTAGTAATTTTAGGCTACATTCCTTGGCTTTGTCTTCAAATAAGGAAAGATTTATCCAGTGAAATTTTGTTGTACTCTTCAAAGAATGAATTAGTTGTTATAATATATCTTTTTATATAGACTAAAAAATCCAGTGAGGGGAGAGTCTGTGACTACTTTATCTGTACCCTTATAACCAGGAGTTTGCACAGACCCCGATCATAGTAGGTGTTCAAGTAATAAACATTTGTTGACATACTGACTGGCTGTCTAACTACTGTAAAAACATCATTACTCATGAATGAAGAAAATTACCCATTTGCTAGAATAAGATCTATAGGTATTTAACAATATATAGTCCCTACTTGTTGGGTTGTTTATTGGGAATTTTGACCCTTCAAAAAATTAAAGTGATTAGTTTTATCTTACTGTTCTCAACTCATTAAAAATAATCAACATTTGAATTGCTAAGATAGAAGTATCAGTTATTGTTAAAATTACAGCCTACCACACAGTAAAAAAGTACAAAATCTTTACATATTTGTTTTGGTCTTTCATGTTTTTAACTACTTGAGCATTGAACTTCTTAAATAACGTTGTCATCCTAAATGGAGGTCAGATGTAAAAAATCACATTGGTTTCTATCCAATACACTCAATTGAATGCATATTTTGTGGTAGGGAAATATTCTTTTTATATTTCAAATTTAAAATGTGCTTTCACATTATGGTCACTTAGAACTATTGTTAAGAGACACCAAATAGAAATTACTCCAATATTTAGCGGCTGCATTATCTGTTAATCTAATACTTGGCTACGTAATCTTCTCATTATTTGTTTGGTTAATGTTAATTCTGAAAACAGTCTGTCAGAGTATATTTTATTGATCAGTAATGGTTCATGTTACCTCTTCCACATGTTCTCTTCAGTGACATTAATAGAAAATCATATGACTTCTGGTTTCATTGTGAAAAGTATTTATTTCACATGTCTGATCCTTTTCAAGTTGGGGAAACATTCAGAACAAAACTGCATAAGATGGCACAACAGTTGATCTCTCTTAACATTGGTGGGAAAAGTAACCTTAACCTAGTCACCAATGATAATATTCCAAGTCACTCTGAGTATAAACCTAATTTGGCAAACTGAGGTTGTGTGTTATGTACTTGAATTTGTCTCCTATAAATGTGATTTCTGATGGAGAGGACTATTAATGCTTCAGATTGTTGCCAAACATAATATGAAGAACCACTTACTCAGACACCTGATCTTTAGAATGCAGCATCGTTTGTAACAATTTTAACGCTAACTAAGTACACTTTGATGAGACAGCATTTAATAAAATGCTCATTAATTTCATCATTAGCAAGGGTATGCTAAGAAGTAAGCCAGTTTCTTATGTCACGCCCAATTAGCATCCCATGCTAGTAATCCCATTAGTATTGTTGAATTCACTAATGGAAAAACTAATGGGCATGCTACCAGGGCACATTAATTGGGCACGACACCAGTTCTGGTTTTAATTATTAAACTACGATAATGAAATGTGTGTTTGTAAAATATTAAAATGTTGAAATAGGGTTGAAGAAAATAAAAGAAAGTACACAAAAGAAAGAGATTAGAAAAGGCCACCTACAAAAACTCACCGACTAGAAAATAGACTAACAAAATTGTCATCTTCTAGCTAAATGAGTTCTGTATAAAAGTTGGGATATTGTCCATAGTAGAAGTGGGCCACTCATACTCACCGGACTAAATACTGCTTTGGGGAAACATGAATTTCTGTATGTTTCTGCTCTGTATGAGAACTGACAGGAGCCAATAAAATGTACAGGATGAACATGTAGGTATATCACTGGAGATATTTTAGGAGAATACAAATGTTTTACCTTTGTTTTGCTTAGAGGGTATAAATTATATTGCATTTTTCCTTATAGACATTTAGCTATAATACATCAGATTATTATCAGGCTTGTCATTTTTAAATAACCATAAAATGAGAATGGCAACCTTATGTGAAGAATATAACCAATGTTGTTGTACTGTACATGCAGAAATTGTTGACTATGATTTGCTTTGTGTATTATTTTGAAAAATAAAATGTATATTAAAATAATAATGAATAGCAAACAAAAATTTAGGAGAAAGTTGGCATTGCTTTACATTTTGGGGGCGGGGGTTAATTAACAGGTTTTATTAGAGTTATCAAGCTGTCCGGGTGTTTAGAATGGAATGAGAGACAAGGGGCAGAGTGAGCGGACAGTGGAAGACAGAGTAAAGACGGAAGAGCGAGAGTAAGAAAGGGAGCACTGGACAGAGGAAGAGACTGGCCACAGGAGAAGGTGAAGACAGTCAGAGAGGATGATTGACATTTTTGCTTATATTTTCATCTCTGGCTTAATAGACACTAGATTATAAATAAACAAGCATAAACACCAATAAAGCCAAATTTTCTAGAGATGTACAAAATATTCCATTAATTAAAAAATATGGGTAATATTTTACCTAAAAGTATTTCTAGTTTTCAAAAGTTTGTGTGGTAGTAAGGTTTTATTATTGCTAAGGAAATCAACTTTATTATAAAATAAATAACCTTATTTTCTAAAGGTCAATATTTTCATTTAGAAGGTGCAGAATAACACTCTGCTCGCTCTACTTGATGGAAGGGAGTTTTGGTTTACCAGCAGTATTATTTAGTGAGGATGTGGCAAAGCTGCATTATCTTATGCTTAGTCTTACTTTTTGACTAACATTTTAATGTTACTAGTGTGCTAACTGTATTATACTGAAAAGTGGTCACTTGGTAATAAGCATTAAGATGGAAGGATTTTAGATAGATAGATAGATAGATATAGATATAGATATAGATATAGATATCTTCACTCAAACTTCTTTTCGCTACTGTCTATTCTTGGGTCCTGCTGCTTTCCAGCTCGTATGCATTTCAAAAGCTCTATTTAAGTATATGTGTGAAAATAAATCCAAAACCAACCTATATACACAAATATATGTACATGTGTGTACACACAACACATGCACTCAGAAGCTTTGACACATGCAGCCCAAAGGTAAATGTAATGACTTCCCGGTGGTGGTACCATTCTCACGACACGATCTGCGTTGTTTCGCACCCTCAGCATAGACTCTTTGAACCTTTGTGTTTTCCTTGTTGCTTTGAAATCACTGTTGTCAGTCTTTACAGGGGTACAATACTTGCAGATGACTTATGGAAAATAAATTGAGCTAAGCTGTTGCTTGGTTTTAAAAATGACTTAATGGGATAGTTTTGGTTCAAGAATTAAAATTGTTTCTAGGCAATAGATTGGGTGGGTTATAAACCTAGTAAGTCTGGTTTCCTTGAGAATTTGAAGTAGTGTCCAATGTATTTTGTCCTTTTGATTAGGATTCTTCTAGTAAGGAGACAGTAGTTCATGTAGACAATTAGTCCACTAAGGAACTAATGTTGTTATAATGCTGTATACTGTATTGTAATACTATAAGTTATAATACCTCACCTGTAAGTGTCAGGTTTTAGTCTATAAAGTACTCTGTACTGAATTCAACCCTGTGAATATATTTTTACATTTACTAACAAGTGGCTAATTTTTGTGAGTCACATTCATTCTTTTTATTAGAAGGGTAGAGAAGCTCAGAGAATTTAATTGGCCTGATCTCTCCCTATCTTTAGAATACATTTCAAATGACATTTTACTGGTTTTAAATTCTGCTTTTAAAATTTTTCTGTTGTTATCATGAAAGTTAAAATGAAAATTTCTAGAATAGCAAATCCATTACCTTTCTGCTGAACATTTAAAAGCAAACAAACAACAACAAGAATAAAAATTCTGCCATAAAATGATGCTGATTCACAGCGACCCTATGGGACTTGGTAGAACTACCTCTGTGATTCGCGAGGCTGTTACTCTTTAGTGGAGTAGAAAGAAGCCCTGCCTTTCTGCCCTTTTGTCCCCCAGAGTGGCTGGTGGTTTGAAGCTGCTGAGCTTGTGGTGGGCAGCCCAGTGTGTAACTGTCACATGGCCAGGCCCCTGTTCCCATGAACACCACTACTCAAAATTCAAGTGATCTTTTAAGAGATACACTGTCAAAGAGAAGTTCTTTTTAGATTTGAGAACCATTCGTGTTCACAGGACATCACAGAAATCAAGCTAAGTGATGCTAGTCATCAACTTTAATTTTGAGTTCTCCTTGAAATTTATTTGTGTTTTCATCGGGGTATAATGTTGTGATAAACACACGCATTTTAAAATTTATACTTGTTTCTCCTCCTCCACCCTGCAAGGGATCACCAGTGAAAGTTACAACAACGAATGATGGTGGTAAACAATATAGTGATGGTGAATGGCATGAAGTAATTGCTATTAGGCACCAGGCTAATGGCCAAATTGTTCTCGATGGACAGTACACAGGTAAGAGCTTTCTTGGATTATAAGTGGTTCTGTGGACACATGATGGTGCCATATTTTTCTGTTGTTTATATTTCCATGTCTCCTCTTCTTCATTGCCACTAAATTCCATCTAAATTGGTGTTGAATTTACCTTTTGGGTTCTCCGAAAACGATGCCTGCAGCCCAGTTCTCCTTCCTGCACGGCTTTGCTGAAACAAAATTAAGCACAACCTCACTCTCCACAAAGCCAATAAAACCGAGTAGCAATGTTGCATCCTTCAGAGCACTCGGTAGTTTGCAAGGGTTCCCTGCCATTATTATCTGTTACCTTTGACCTCCAGAGGCAAATACTGTTTTTTGTTTTTTAAGCAGCTATTACCTACATTGTAGAGTGAAGGGAAGTAAGGCTCGGGAAAGTTATATAAAATTTCTCCCTATATTTGTAGCTGGTAGGCAGCACTCTCAGGAAACATATTCTGATTTTTCAATTCTAAGTTCAGTATTTTATCCAGTCTACTCTACCTACCGTATTCATGTAATTATGAAATATCTCCAGTATCTGTTTTTGAGGCACATTTTCATTAATTTGAACAGTGTTATTTAATTGACCAACTACTATATGCTTGGCGTTATTCTAGGTACCCTGTATACAAAAGCAAACAGAGCATTGTGAGAGTTACTTATTCAGGGAATAAAGGAAAAAAACAAAATGAAAAATATTGAATAGTAAAGTGGGAGAGCAGAAGCATGTGTGTGTATGTGCCTATGTGTATCTCTGTGTGTGTATGTATGTGCCTATGTGTATCTGTGTGTGTGTGTATATGTGCCTATGTGTATCTCTGTGTGTGTGTGATTTTGTATCAGCCATGTGGGGATTGTCACAGAATGTCTATGATAAGGCAATATTTGGGCTGAGATATGAAGGAGTGAAAGAGGAAACCAGGCAAATATTCAGAGAAAACATATTTAGGCTGAGGAAACACCAGGTGCCAGACCCTGAGCTGAAGGCATACCACGCAGGGCATGTCAGAGGTTGGCAAGAAGGTCCACGTGGGACTGGGGAATAGAGGTGGTCACTATAGATCAGGAGGTCAATGAAAGCCAATTCGTAGGCTTCTGCCATAATTGGGGCAAGAAATGCTCGTGGCTTAAGCCAGAGTGACTTTGGGATGTAATGAGAAATGGTAGAATTCTGGCTATATTGTGAAGGTCAAATGAAAAGGATTTGCTGAGGGTTGAGGTAGTCAATCCACCACCACTGCATTGATTCTGGCTCGCAGTGACTCTATAGGACAGCATACAGCCATCCCCTTTGTTTCCCAGCACTGTAAAAAAAGCAGGAGCTTCGTTTTCTCCCTCAGAGTAGCTGGTGGGTTCAAATGCTGGCTTTATGGTTAGCAATCAGTAACCCACTATACCACCAAGTCTCCTTTTGAGGTAGAATAGAGTAAAGCAAAACTTCTGTAACTTATGCTATAATAAAAAAAATAAATAAATAAAATAATTTTTAAAAAAGCAAAAAACTTATACTATAATATTTATTATAGTAAGCACTGTAGACTTTTTAAGCCATATCGTATGAAGCTATCATAGAAAAATATATAAATGGACATAGGTCTTCCAAGAAATTTTTATTTCTAAAAACAGGCATAAGCAGGATTTAACCCTTAACTGGTAGTTTTCTAACATCCCTAGTCTTTGCTGAGGTAGAGTAGGGGTTGTCAAACTATCATTTAAACATCAAATCCTGCTTATGCCCATTTTTGTAAATAAAGTTTTCTTGGAACAGTTATGCCCATTTAGTTTATGTAATTGCCTAAGACCATATGGCTTACAAAGTCTAAGACATTTAATAAGTTAAATATTGCAGTGTAATTTTCACAGAAAGAGTTTGCTAACCCGATGTAGAGCAAGGGTGGGAACATCCAGCCTAGACACCTTAGAAAGCCTGAAGAAATCAATACTAACTAACATCGAATGCCACACTATAGAAAAACAGCCATCCCATTTGAGATGAATTGATGAAATGTTATACCAACTATAGCAGGCTAATTTTTAAGTTGAGAACAGTGGCCCTCAAATGATGTTACACATATCCAATGGTCCTTGGCAGAGGAAAGGTTCCCCAGTGCTGAAGTAGAGCACAGCTGCAAGGCATGGGGTCTGCACCACTGGAAAGATGTAGTGGCCATAACTAAGTTGGAGAAGCAGTCTGGAAAGAGAGATTTATAATTGAGTTTTGAACATGCAAAGACTATGAGTTGGTTAAGTGTAAGCATATTAAGCAGCTTCCTGGATACATGAGTGCGAGTTGAGGGAGAGATGAAAGTTTGGAGATACAAAGTGGGAGAGGTCAGGTAAGGATTACAGTTGAAGTAGGGGATTGAGGGAAATTGATTGTGGGGCTTGAGGGGAGAAAAAGTTATCTCCCTCTAAAGAAGGCAATACTTACACAGTATTCTTAAATGAAGACGTTCATGTACAATAAGGTCCAAGCTCTACTGGATCTTGGCCCTGGCAGTTTGCACTGGTGCCCACCCTATCGTCATATTATGGAGCATGTAAGGAGTGTGTGTGGTTAGAGAACGGAAGCCCTCTGAGAGGGGAAGGGGTCTGGGCCATTCCTACATCGAGACTCTGGGAAGGGAGGGTGAAAGTAAGCCAGAATAGCCACTGAGGTCAAAGGAGAATCAGGGGAAAGAGCGCTCCCAAAGCTCCACCCAGGGTTTTATCATTTATTAAAGTGGTCGAACTAGACTAGTCTCCTGAAGTTAGCATTCTTTCCTCCTTGAATAGGTTCCTCTGCTGCCCTGACTGGTAGCACGGTTATCGGAGACAACACAGGAGTTTTTGTGGGAGGGCTGCCCCAAGATTACACCAGCCTCAGGAAGGATCTTGGTGAGTGTGGTCAAGGTTTACTATATAAGATATATGCTATCACCAAAATTCAGAAACTAAACAACCTAGATTATTTAAAAATATGAACAACTGTTGGTGTTTCTGTCTCCAACTGTATTTCCTATATTGCTATGTTAAATAATTCCTTTTATGTTTCATTCTTGCTTTAGGAACCACATAGTACTTGTGTTTTAAATGTCAGCTCCCAGTTTTCCATATACACCAAGAGTTCATCAGATGCTTGGTGAATTTAGTTACGTTAATTTAAATCAAAGGTGTACTATATCAGGATTTGTTCTCTGTATAGAATTTTCTAAGATTTTAAATGAAATATAATGCAACACAGAAAGGAAGAACTATGTGTCTGATTTACATGCCACATAGAGTCAACAAAGGGCCCTTAGTACTTCTTTTGTGACCAGTCCTTACAAAGCCATGGCTGAATAAAACATGGTCTTTTTCAAAATAGACCATATAAGCAGATAAACAAATAATTCTCATGTGATGCTATATATGCTTCAACTGAAAGATGGACAAAGTCCTTTCCATGATTTTAGGACAAGAAAGAATAAATGCACTCTAACTCATAAAAAACAAACAAAATTAAACTTCTGCAACAACAAAAATTACCCTTCAAATGTGTGGCTAATAATTCTAAGATTATCACCAAAATCCTCTCCAAGAATAATATGGTACTCCCAGGTTTCTTCCACAATGTTAAAATGTAACTATCACAAAAGATAATGATAATTTGTTCAAAGATTGTAGCTTTAAGGGAATCAAGATGAATAGATCAAAAGCAGTAAACATTTTCAGTGAATTTTGGCTAGAGAAACATTCAGATCCTCAAGAGGGATTGGAAATATCTTGAGAATAGAGGAATAGAGAGGGTATTCATTCAATTACTTTAGACTGGTAGATAGCTCTCTCTGAAATATTTATTCACACACACACACACACACACACATACACATGCAGTCTCACATACACAATCACTCACACCCACAATCTTTGTTTCTTTGTCTATTTAGTAGACTTAGTGGCTAGGGTAGGTACAGGCACTAGAAGTATAGAACACCCTGATACCAAATACTCTTTCTAGAATGTACATATCTTTATCATAAGTCAATAATTTGACATTTGCATTTAAATTGGCCTTGTACCACTTTGATTGCTAGTGAATAACTCCTAGAACTAAATCTGTAACTTAAAAGCTGAGAACTAAACTTTGGACTGATAAAAACCCACTGCCATTGAGTTGACTCTGCCTCAAAGACACCCCACAATAGTGTGGAACCACTGAGTTTCCAAGACTGCAAACCTCGAGGAAAGCATCCAACCTCATCTTTCTCCTGTAGAGTGCTAATCGATTTGATCTGCAAACTTTGAAGTTAGTAGTCCAACTCTTAACCACTGCACAAACCCAGGCTGTTGCTTTATGAAATAGGTGGTCTCTCACCCTATTATTTTCTTGTTCTCATTCATGTTCTCATGAACGGACTTTCTCCCCTACTACTTATTGTAACTCTGTTTACTATATTGAAAAGCCCACCTAGTCTGGAGAGTTTTAAAATTCAGTTCAATATCAATTCAATATTGAATTGCTAAATATGAACTGTAATTATTAAAGAGTTGAGTAACAGAGTGATTCACAATGATGAGTAAACTCAACTATATGTAAAATTTATTGAAATTGTTCATATTTTAAAAGTACCTATAGAACTTTAAAAAATAATTGGCAAATAAATATTTCCCAGGATGCTCCAACAGACAATATTCATTATCTTACTGGAAAACCGGGATTCTTTACAGTAAACATTTGTTTCTGCAGATGTGGTGTGTCTGAACTAGGGCTGAACCTAGTAAATGTTAACTAGTTACCAAAATGGATGATGGGGTGGTATATGAATGGTTGAGATGTTTATGGTAAAGAGGTGGTGAGAGCTTTATCAATTTCTTTGATAATAAGGGCATGTGAAACTAATACTTGTCAAGATTCTTTAAAATACATATTTCTTGCTGTTTATCAACTCCTGCAGAGATAACTCAAAAGAGTTTTGTGGGCTGTCTCAGGGACATGCATCTTATGAAGAATTATACTCCCTCTGCTATCTGGGAACCTCTGGATTGGCAGTGTTCTGAAGAGCAAGTCAATGTGTATAACAGCTGGGAAGGATGTCCTACTTCACTAGAAGAGGGTGTCCACTTCCTAGGAACAGGTAAGGGTCTAAAATAAACACCAGTGTTACTTAGCATGTGTGTTCCAGTGGGCATACTTAAAATTCTCCTGTCCAGTTACTTAGACTCCATAAGGAATTAGTACACATGGACATGCATACTTATACCTTGATGCACATAAGTATTTCCTCCCTCAAATTTTGAATGTGTAATATAAGTTGTAAAATTTATAAATTATATCCCTGGGTTAAGATCGTGTGCAGCCCATAATAGCTCTCAGTTTGCACATGTTAATGTCACAGAGATCCACTTGTAAGTGTATTGTTAGAAAGTGTAATGCACTCTTACTTAGATGATTGAAAAAAAGTTTTCTTTACCAAGTTTACCCACACTTAATTATTCCCTTATGCAGCCAAATGATATGTGTTTGGAGGGGGCCAACCCCTCACCACTAATCACAGGTTCGATAGGCACAATTGGATGGTTGAGATATATAAATATTATATTAAAGTCATAGAGAGCATAAGAGAATAGAAGAGAGATTGAAATAATGGAGTCAGACACCTTTGATGGTAAGATGCTCACCTCAGCCCCACTTGGTGGTCCACGTGGAGAGAGAGGGAAGGGAACAGTGGAGAGAAGACTGGAGAGGAGAGGGGAAACCAATGAGAGGCCAAGAGGGGAGCCTGAGAGAGAGAGCTCTTTATTGCTAACCCAGGCCTATATACCTTTGGGGGAGTGCAAGCCCAGTAATTACAGGTAAAGACATATGTTACAGGAAGGGGTCGCACTATAAGTTATACAGCCATGAGAGGGGGGCAATCTAGGGATATACACGCAATGGGAAGAGGAGGGATTGGGGATATACATGTGACAAGATGGGTGGATCCTAGATTCAGGATGGCAGCCTAACTTCGGATGTCACTGAGCTGGTTTGAAATGTTCTCCATAGAAACCATTATCAGTAGGGTATAAACCCCACCAAAGGAACCAAGCGAATGGTCTTGAGCCTTTAGGGAGTAGTCCATTGTCCGTAACAGCAGGGATTGGGGCTTACCTGTCTGGCAACTGCCTGCTGGGAGGATGTCTCTAAGCATCTGACCTCCCACCATATGCCAGCAAAAAGCCCCTAATGTTTGGCATGTCTTTGGGGGAGACAAAGCTGGGGAAAAGTCTCTTTATAATCCCACAATGATAATCCTAGATGTAAAATTTCATATCAGCTTTTGAGAGAGAGCTGGGAGTGTAGCCGTTGCCCTTGCCATTGCTTCAAAGGCTTCAGCTAAAAGGAGAGCATGGCGCATCTCTCACTAGCAGTCTGCCTCTGCACCGACCTAAGAAGAGGAGGGGGGAGAAGCATAACGACTTTTATTCTTTGAATAAAAGCGTGCCTCTACCTCTGACATTTATAACTAAGTCACTGAATTATTGTAGTTCTCTTTTATCTTTATCAAAATATTTTTTGGCAGATAATCCACAAGCTACACAATTCAATAATTCAACACATAAAGAAAAATTTTACAATTATCACCACAATACGTGTTAGAACATTTTCTTTGTTCTTCTTCTCATAGTTCTTAGTTCCCTATTTCCCCCTGACTGCCATTGCCATGCCCCCAAATACCTTTATTCATCCAGTTACTGTCTCTATAGAGTAACCTGTCCTCAACTTCATATACCGAAAATGATTTTTAAAAGAAAACAACAACAAAAAAAACTAACAATGATAACAGAGGAAAAAACTCAATCAAAAAAATAAAACGAAACAAAAAACAAAGCAGAAAATGTTAAACACCAGAACAAATTTTAAATGGGTCCAAAGGAAGATCAAATGATAGGGTGTTAAATTTTAACCTAACTGCATCTGCAAGACTCCTCTTTTCAATGCATTCTGCTTGGTGCATGGCTATTACCACATCTGGTTTAGCGTCAGAGCGGATTAACCAGAGGCTTAATTTATGTGTATTTCCCCTTCACCTGAGTAATTAATAGAGATTAATACATATATCAAATCATTTTACAGTTCATTCACATCCAGCAGAATTGTACATTTGCTACCACAATCAGTTTCCAAACACTCTTTTTCTATATGGACTCCTTGACGTCATCACTCCATTACCTCGCCAACCCCTGTGCCACCCTCCCCCTAAAATGCTTATTCCACTTGCTGATTCTATAAGTTTATCAGTCCTAGTTTTCATACCCCCCAAAACAAAAACAAGCTCATACCACAGCCTCAAGAGGGTGATCCCCAATGGCATGGTACTCCTGAGGAAAGATGTGCAACCCAACCACCCAATACAGCCCCCAAATGCATACGATTTTGGAAGCTAGATCAGGTCTAGCCTGCAGCCTAGGGGGACTGGGGAGTTGAGTATCGGTCAGAGGCAAAAGTCTGAGTTGAACAGTTATTGTGGGTATTAAACTGCCTTTGGAACAGAAATCTAAGCACCCTCATAATCTGTATACTTTTACTGTACTCTTTTCTCATTGGCTAAATTCCTCATGGCCAATGTCTCAGACATACCAATTCATTCTGCCACTTTGCTACAATTACATCTGGGATTTCTTAATATTTATTTGATTTTATTTTGGGAGAAATATGCTCAATGAGAGGATGTGAGTCCTATAACACCTCTTAGGATGGTGGTATTACATTGTTATTGTCGGATACAGTTGAGTCAATTTCAATTCACGGCAACTCAGTGAGTAGAACTGTCCCCGCAGGCTTCCTAGAGAATCAGCTTCAAGAGAATGTGCTGCCGGTCTTTTCTCCCAAGGAGTGGCTTAATATGTTCAAATTGCACTCTTTTCCTTTAGCAGCTACATGTTAACCATTGCATTACCAACATTCCTTTAGGAGCCTGGGTGGTTTAAGGGTCATTAGTTGGACTGCGATCCACATGGTCGGCAGTTTGGAACCACCAGCAGTCTGAGAGAGAAAGATTCGGTTGGCAATTCCCTTGTACAGTTACAGTCTGGGAACCACACAGGGGAGTCACTCTGAGCCACCATTGACTCCGTGGCAGTGAGTTTGGATTTTGTTGATATTATAGCAGACATGCTAATGTGTGCATTTTCTTATCTTTAAAGGGTTCCTGGAACTTCATTCATATGTCTTTCATGGTGGAATGGACTTTGAGATTTCCTTCAAGTTCAGAACCGATCAGTTGGATGGACTCCTGCTTTTTGTTTACAACCGAGATGGACCTGATTTTCTTGCTGTATGTCCCTTTACTTACGTTTACTCTGAAATGTCAGCTCCAACTTTAAGTCTCTAAGCCATATGCTAAGATTATATTCAACTGAGATGTCTTTTAAAGCTTTATTTTTCCTTTGTTCACACTCCAGGACCTACTAATTATGAGTTTTAGAGTCCTATACATTTATGTTATAAGATTATGATGATTTTTTAATGAATGTTTTAATTAACATGTTAGTTCTACCAAAATAGACTGGAAACTAAGGAATTGAGACAATCCAATTTCATTTTGGTGGTTTTAGGATTCTAAGATAATTTAATTCCCTTGTTTTTGAACATGTCTAGAACATATCATGTCAATTTTGTTGCTCAGGTAAATGGGAAGGTACATTTTGTAAGAAACAACCAATGGTGGCTCATAGTAACTACCCTGTTCGGTTCTGAGACTGTTTAAGGGAGTTGCCATCAAATTGATGTTGACTCACAGCGACCCTATGGGGTGGAGCTGCCCCTGAGTTCTTGAGGCCTTAACTCTTTCCTGGAATAGAAAGCCCCATCTTGCTCCCACTTTATAATGTTCATTAAGCTGTCTACTTATTGTGTGTCTATGCCCCCTTGTTTGTTGTTGGCCTCTCTACTGGAACATGAGTTCCATGAGTAGAGAGACCTTGGCTGTCTGCTTTACAGCTGCATCCTCTCTGCCTACCTTGACGTGCACTCAGAACTCAGTAAGTGTCGTTGGATGAATGAGTGACCGTGTGTTGTAACAGCCATCATCAGACAGCTCTTGATGTGTGTTGACTTTGTGGAGGCTGTAAAAATATTCATCAATTGACTTCCAAGTGGAGGAGACCCAAAGCCCATCTGTACACAATTGGACATCCCCTCACAAAAGGGTCACAAGTAAGAGATGAGCCAGTCAGAGTGCAGTATAGCACCGATGAAACACAACTTTCCTCTAGTTCAATGTTTATCAATCTTCCAAATGCCACTGCCCTTTAATACAGTTTCTCATGTTGTGGTGACACCCAACCACAAAATTATTTTCATTGCTACTTCATAACTGTCATTTTGCTACTGTTAGGAATTGAGTGACCCCTGTGAAAGGGTCATTCGACCCCCACCAGGGTTGTGACCCACAGGTTGAAAACTGCTGCTCTAGTTATTTAATGCTTCCTTTCCTCCCACTATAATGACCCCAATTCTACCTTACAAATTGGATTAGACCAGAACATGCACACTGCTACAGAAAAGAGCCCACAACACAGGGAATCCAGGGTAGATAAACCCCTCAGGGCCAACAAAGAGAATAGAGATACCAGGAGGATACAGGGAAGGTGTGGGGAGAAAGGGAGAATTGATCACAAGGATTAATACATAACCCCCTCCCAGAGGGAAGAACAACAGAAAAGTGGGTGAAGGGTGAGAGAGGATGATGTAAGATATGAAAAGAATAATCTATAACTTATCAAGGGTTCACGAGGGAGGGAGGGAGGGGGTGAAAATAGGAGCTGATAGCAAGGGCTCAAGTCGAAAGAAAATGCTTTGAAAATGATGATGGCAGCATACGTGCAAATGTGCTTGAAACAATGGATGAGTGTATGGATTGTGTTAAGAGATGTAAGAGTCCCCAATAAAAACATTTAATAATAATAATAATAAATAAAGAGTACAAGTCTCTAATGAATGCTCACATGTCCTGCTATATCACCCTTCATTCTTCTGGGCTTCTCCACTCAATGTCTTTGAAAGGATTATAAGACCCCTTTGTACTAGTAGGTAGTAATGTTAATTCAGGTAAGCAAATAAAATATCTATTTGAAAATTATTATGTTTCAACAAGTATAGATTGAGTGCCTATTTTGTGCTGGGTTCTCCCTTTAACCCTTCCTGCACAGCAGGGAAGGAAGTACGAGGAAGTAGAGATTGTGCAAGTTTATATTATAGTCTTTCGTATCTGAGACTTTGGGATTCTCAAAAATTATCTATCCACATCAATTGTTCTTAATATCCTGAATATATGTAGGAGCCCTGGTGGCCTAGTGGTTGCTCATTGGGCTGCTAACCATAAGGCCAGTAGTTCAAAACCATCAGCGACTCTCTGGCAGAACGATGAGGCTTTCTACTCCAGTAGAGTTACAGTCTCAGAAATCAACAGGACACTTCTGCTGTATCCTAGAGGGTGGCGCTGAGTCAGAACCGCCTGGATAACTGTGCGCTTCATTTCATGGATTCTATTTAACTTACGTGCTATTTACCTATATATATAAGAATATCTCTCCAGTCTTATTTCAACTGATGTCCTGAACTCATATCTTCAACTCCACCACCCTGGATCACTATGCTCACCTAGTTTTCAATCACATTAGCCAGATTGCCAAGGATCAGAGGGGAACTGATACAACCATGATGATGCGTTGCTCTGAGTCTCAGGATCTCTAATTTTTCATTCAATATTTTGACTTTTTTTTAGGATTTGTTAACAGAATAGTTGTGGAATGTTAAAGGAAAAAAATTCTGACTTCCAGGATCTGCCACACCATAACCTTAAAAATCTTCTGATCGTCCCTCACAGATATATCTACTTGAATTAAGCCTAACACTTCTCTCTCCCTCCACAGAAGGGGAAAACTAACAAACAAATGAACTGCAGTGGTATGTTTACAACCAAAGCTCATCATTTCCTTTTATTTTTGATTCCTTTCCTTCTCCTACAAGACCTCCTTCTACTTTGTAGTTCAGATGTTCCTCCTCCTTTTGCTCTTCCCTTAGCTGACAAAATGGTGGCGCTCCATTCATCTTCTTTATTTATTTATTGTACTTAGAAGACCCTCTCTGCTGTGTTTTGCTTCCCTTGAAAGGTGAGTATTTTGTAAGTGATTACTCCTGATATTTCATATTCTCATCTCATTTCAGTGCTCAAATCTGCACAATTATCTCCTGCCCTCCACTAAAAAAGAAAAGCCATTTTATTAAACTATCAACGATCCTCATGCTTATGAATCTGGTAGATAAGTCCCAGTATTTATCTTTTGTGATCCTCCTGTGCTTTATTCACTGGGACATCCCCAGTATAGGTATTTTCATGTGACAATGCCTCTGAGTTTCTCCTGGATGGTCTACGGTCACATTAACCTCAGTATTTCTCAAGCGGGGCTCGCGACCCACATACATACCGATGAGGACCTGTGAACAAAATAGCATCATCTAACTTTTCCTTCTAATGCTTTCCTTTTCATGATGATGATAAAATATCTCGCTCCTCTCTGTTGTGGAAGAAAGGAAGAGAGTAGCTTTGATTTTCTTTTTATTCATCATCTTTATTGACTTTTCTCCTGATAACTTGCTTTTAAAAATGTCCCTTAGACTTAATTTTCCCCGTCATCATCGTTTCTTTATTTTAGGCTTTCATCATTTAAAAAGAATCATGTTCTTTATTAGCAGTATGCTTTTGGTGATCGCCAATATCAGCCCAGCTGTTATTTCGTTTTGTGCTCCCTATGAGTGTGAGAGTGAACTTTCCGAGCAAGGATATGGTCTATGGTTTCAGGCACACATTGATTCAAATGCTATCTCTGTTCTTGCCTACCTTCTTTATGGCAACATTCTTTACTAAGAACCTTCGTCTCTTCACCCATAAAACAGAAAGAATACCCACTCTTAGAATTGTTGTAAGCAAGGGTAGAGACAATTTATGTAAAGTATTTGGTTCAGGGTGTGAAATTTAGTAAAGGTTCACTGTCTACAAATTAACATTATAGTTATGATGATTGGCTATTTAATTCTCTATTTCAAATTCCTATTAGAAGAGAAAAAAATGTTTCTCTACATCATGCAACATTCTTCAAATTCTAGCCTTGATGTACCTGGTGAGAACCTTTCTGATTCTTATGTACCATTTGTATGACCTAACTTTATACCTTCTCATCAAAACATGCCCTTGTACACGTGAATCTCCCGCTCAGAGGGTCTTATATACTTCCAAAATATGTTTTTCAAGCTTCTGCGAATTCCCAGGGAACACAAGGCATCCCTTTCTATGCGTCCATTATACCCCATCCTTGTCTTGATTAGGGTATCCCCTCATTTGGTCGCCTCTGCTATTCGACAGTGGAATGTGTGAGAGCTGTGCATGTACTAGAGCAGCAGGTTCATGAGCACAGTAGGAGATTCCACATTCATTAAAATCAGGGGCAAATCAAGCTCAGAAGCAACAAAGCCCACATGGAAGAAGCACACCAGCCTATGCAACCACGAGGTGTCGAAGGGATCAGGTGTAAGGCATCATCAGAACAAAAAATCTTACCATAGTGAATGATGGGGGGAGTGCGGAGTGGAGATCCAAAGCCCATTAGTAGGCCACTGGAGATCCCCTTGCAGAGGGGTCTCGGGAGGAGATGAGCCAGTCAGGGTGTGATGTAACAATGATGAGAAATACAACTTTCCTCTGGTTCCTAAATGTTTCCTCCCCGCTCCCACTACCATGACTCGAATTCGATCTTGCAAGTCTGGCTAAACCAGAGGAGGTACACTGTTACAGATAGGAACTGAAAATACAGGGAATCCAGGACGGATGAGCCCTATAGGACCAGTGGTGTGCGTGGCAAAACAGGGAGGGTAAAGGGAGAATGGGTAGGAAAGAGGGAACCGATTACATGGAACTGTGTGTGACCTCCTCCCTGGGGGACAGACAACCGAAAAGTGGATGAAGGGAGACGTCGGACATGGCAAGATATGACAAAATACCAATTTATAAACTATCAAGGGCTCATGTGGGAGGGGGGAGCGGGGAGGGAGGGGAAAAATGAGGACCTAATGTCGGGGGTTTAAATGGAGAGAAAATGTTTTGAGAAACGATGTACAAATGCGCTTTAAACAATTGATGTGTGTATGGATTGGGATAACAGTTGTATGAGCCCCTAATAAAATGTTAAAAAAAAATCAGGGGCAAATACATGGGCCATTGTTTACCCCGATGTGCTTTGCAATGATGCGTATATAAAATGGAAGTTTTCACTGGCATTACCTAATTTATTTTGTTACATATATCGTATATCAAAATTTTTATAGAGCTTATAGTTGCTTACAAGCAGGCATCAAAACAGTCATGAAAAAATGGAATGAAAATATAATGAAAGTTTTCCACATGTGTTCAAGTCTCATATTTGGGTTCCAGTAAAATCAGGAGTGGTAGGAAAATTAACTATCACGTATCATTTCTAAGGAAAGCCTATCAAGGTTTTCCTTGAACTTGGTGACTCTGTAGGATAAGCATTGAGCTGGTGATTCAAAGCCCACCAGCTGCTCTACGGGAGAAACCCCAGGCTGTCTGTGTCCATGAAGATGCTCAGTCTCAGGCATGCTACATTGGGTTGTTATGCGTCAGGATTGACTCGGCGGCGGTGGATTTGTGGTTCTGTTCACCGTAGAACAAAACACCTTTATCTAAAACAAGTAAAAGCAATTATGTTATTTAGAGACTTAGAACAACAGAAAGGAAATATTGAATCAAAATTTAACTCACAAATTTCAAGTTGAGTTTAGCCATTGTGAAATCCTGCATAATAAAGCTTGACATTTTGTTTTTTTATTGTTCAGTATTGTCCCCTATTCCCCCCAGCCCCTTAGTTTAAATTGATGTGTGAACTAGTATTTCTCATTTTCTGAAATTTCAAATAAAATGATTGTTCAAGCTGATCTTTTTCAATTATCTAGTCTCTTATAGCAACATTTAGTTTTTTGTATGGCATCACACAATCATTTACTATGTAACAATTTGTTTGGCTCACTACAATATTCTGCAGGTCAGTTATAAGCCTGAACATACACGTTTATATGCTGCTACAGTTCTGTTAAGAATTAAGTATGACAATTTTATCAAGTGCTTTCAGTGAAATCTCTTGCTTTCCTTCAAGAAATGAGCTTTACACTCTCTCCCAACCTCTTAGTCTGCAGTCTTTTTCATATAGTTCTTTTCTTTTCTTTTTTTTTTTAATTTGAAATACAGATGGAACTGAAGAGTGGAATATTGAGCTTTCTGCTGCATACCAGTCTTACCTTTACGCAAGTGGATCTCTGGCTGGGGCTGGACTACTGTGATGGAAAGTGGAATGAAGTGGTTATGAAAAAGGAAGGCTCAGTCATATCGGCAAGCATGAATGGACTGACAGAGTACGTGTCAGAATCCAGGGCCCAGCCTCTGACGGTGAATTCCCCAGTCTACGTGGGAGGAATCCCACAGGAGCTGCACAGCACATATGAACACCTGAGTCTTGAACAAGGTAATCACCCTCTGGAAGAATTCACAAACGAATGGATTTGATCTGTCCAGATGTTGTTAATGGTTCAATATAGCTCACAATCAAGCTGCGAGCAGTGTCAGCTTCTCCTCCTCATCCTCCCCCTCCTTCTTTTTCAGGAGGATTTTTAAGTTCTTAAAAAGGAAAAAAAAATCCCATCTTCAAATAGTTTCATCTGTCACTCAAAAAAATAGATCACTATGGCTATTTATAATCAGTATATTTATTCCAACATGTCTTCATCAAATATAATTCTAATTAGTAAATAAAGGTATTCATTTATATGTTTTCTTCGAAAAATCATAAAGTACTAGTTCTTTTGGTTACTGATCACTATCTGTAGTAACAAACACACACACTAATAACTTGCTGTTCACATCTAGGATAGATGGCTGGGAAACTCAATTTTTTCTTTTTTTAAAACGTAGATGCTAATCCTCCTTCCTTCCCTCCCTCCCTCTCTCTTTGACAGAACTCTCAAGGATATCTAAGAGTTGGTATCATTGAATTTCAAATATGTTCATGGAAAGCCATATATTGTTGATTGTTAATTACTATTAGACAAAAGGAATATGCTTTACTTACAAGGAAAGCACTTAATCCCATGTGTTTGAACATAATCTGATAACCTATTTATAGCCTATTTATATGAAATAGGCTAACAATCACAAAGGACATCTTATGTGCCAAGTAGGATTTGGATGGCTTTAGATAAGACTAAGAGAGACAATGCTTCATAAGAGCCAATGAGCTTGGTGCTATTGTTTTCCTGGATACTGTGCAGATGTGGAAGAACATATAGGAAAGCAGGTTGCCCAAGATCCCATGGCGAGGACGCAGGCAGCAAGCCTAAAACTATGTCTCAGGAGACCTGAGGTCAAAGTCGCCTCTCCTCAGCACCATCAAGTGCTCTCTTTTATGGGCCTTGGCAAGGGATCATACTTCATAAAATAGGAACAGTGACCAACTATGCTCCTATACAGATATTGTTCTTTGTGTATTTAAAAATCTCTAAACCTTGAATGGTCAAAGTGTCCATGAAACATCGATTTGCTAAGTACATCAAGATTTAAATGTCTTTGGATAGAAAATCTATGGCGAACGCTAAGGAGACTTTTAGGAGGGTGGTAGTAAGGAGTTAATGAATAACTGGGGTGTAAGACAGTAATGACATTTTCAAGGCACTTAAGATGTAACAGCAGCTAAAAATATGACATTCTCATAAGGACTCAGGTTTCTGAGATTAGAAAGAGCGGGCAAACCCTTGTATGAGTGAGGTGACATGACTGGCTGTATATCCGGGAGGGAGGAAGCACCAAAACAAAAGCAGAGCCGCTTTGTATCACATCCAAACCCACTCATATGATGATTCTAGAGACCTGGCTAACACTAGAATTGTGAAATGAGGATGAGAGGTGTCAAAAACATCACCCCAGACCCAAGGGGAATAATTTAACATATAATATAACAAAACTGATGACACAGAGAGATATTTTATTTATGAACAATACTTTTATCAGGCCACTATCATCCATATCAGCACTTCTCAAACCACCGATAAGAACATATTGAAGTATAGGAGCTGGACCACAATAAGGACTCAATGCATTTACTATTATTATCTAGTGACCTGGGGAGAGTGTTAAATATGATGATGCTGTAACATAAGAGTCTGATTGAGATGCCTTGAGAAACATTGATCTGTATGAAAAAGAATAGGCTCTGCATGGAGGTGCTGCACACATGTTGGAGTCAAAACAAAGCATGGACAAATCATGTATCTTTCCAATTTATTATCAATGATATTGAACAATTTTTCTGCTTCCTCTTTTATGTGTCTTAATTATCTATGTGTCTTATTTATGCTCCTCAGAGGCTCTATTTTGTGATATTTGATCTGTCTTTTCCATTAATACTGTAGTCTTACTTTGAATCAAACTTCAATTCACTACCCTCTTCTTTTGGAAATACTAACTCTTACTACCATTGAGTTAATTCTGGCTCATGGTGATTCTGTCCTTTCAAACATGATAGTGCCTTATTCATAAAGAGTATGTGTGAGTGGCAGCAATCCCCAACTCAGCTCCACATGTGCCCTCTGTTACACATTTGTGCAGTTTCGCAAGCAGAAATGGCAAACCTCATTGAACTGATCTCTGTTTACACAAACAACTGCTCTTCCCTGGCCGACTGGATGTCTTATGGTTCTCTAACCAAACAAAGAAGCAAATACTCCAAACCTATTTCACTCTCTTTCTCTGTTAAACGTAACAGAGCTGTGTTACCTTGTGGTCAATGGGATACAATGTGTCCTCTATTGGAACCTCTGGGAGCTACCATTGCCAAAGGTGAAAGTTGGTCACTGGCATGTTAGCAGGATGGGAAACTGCTGACCATGTTGTGTATGCCAGGCTCTGGAGCCCAAAGAAAATAGTAGAATACAGCAATAGCTCTCCTGTACACATATTTCACTGGGAGCGTGTTCGGTATCTCATGTCATTATTATGCCATCCATTGAATAGCTCAGAAGTCCAGTATATTGTGAGACTACCGTCACTTGCTCTGGCTCTCTTGCATAAAATCCTGAAAGTGTGTATTTTTCCTCAGTGGCTTATTGAATAATCATGTTAATTACAATAGCCTTTTTGGCACTTAAGAAACGCTGACTTAGATAGATTGCTTCATCTTCCCGAAATGGCAAGCCCTTTCTATGATCACGTACCTTTGTCTACATTTTATTTTTTGAAGAAAAAAAATAGAGAGGGAGGAAATGCAAACCTGAGGAAAGAGAACAAATGCTTTTCAGTACCCAAAGCTGGATTTAACCGCTGGCAGATATCTATTTTCCCCACCAAACAGCAGAACTAGACATCTCATTCCAGCCTTTTCACCCGATGCAAGGCAAGAGGTGGCATAGTGAATTTTTCAAAGAAGCCCCAGAAGTATGATAATTTGTATTTGAACCCCGCCCCCACCACATCAAATGTAGTGCTGCAGAGGACAAAAATGATTGGTAATTAATGACTCGAGCCCGTTACGTGATACTAACCCCTTACTGTTTGCTAGGTTTTGGTGGTTGCGTGAAGGATGTTAAATTTACACGAGGTGCTGTCGTTAACTTGGCATCTGTGTCCAGCAGTGCTGTCAGAGTCAATCTGGATGGATGCCTATCAACTGACAGTGCTGTTAACTGCAGGGGAAATGACTCCATCCTGCTTTACGGGGGGAAGGAGCCGAGTGTGTATGAGCGCGGTCTCCAGCCTTTTACAGGTAAGATGGACACCTCTAAATTCAGAGTTGCATGGCTCCTATGCAGCCCCAATCCCAATGCCCTCCCCAGAAGCCCCACACTGGGGCTAGATAAGTAAGGTTTTAATATTTCTATTTTTTATTTCCATTTAAGAATACCTGTATCGAGTGATCGCCTCGCACGAAGGAGGTTCAGTATATAGTGATTGGAGTCGGGGACGTACCAAGGGAGCAGGTAAATGCAATTTACTTTAAAATATATGTGTGCCGTACACACACGTGGTTGGTTGTGTACCCTTGTTAGGGCATGCTTAGAAAATCAGACCTTAGCACACAGCAGCCGTCTCCCTGCTACCTCGTGAGTAGGCGTTCCTTGAAATGGCTGAGGAAGTCAGTGGACTTGTTTATTTTTCTTTTCAGACTTTGCTGAAGTTTGATTCCTTTCTCTAAAGATGCAAAAGGAGAGTCAGGTGGTCTTAAGGATTTCATAGGGCAGACTTACGGTCATATGCCTAAAATAGGGCACCTGCCACCCTGCGTAGTTCCGGAAGCTGAGCTGGGACGACTGTTAGAAGAGGCTGGCGCGCTCTTGCTTGTGTTGCAGAGTCCTGTTTGAAACCTGTGCCTTCGTTGCAAACAGCGGTGTCTTTTCTCACACACAGCAGACGCTTGTTAGGGTGTCGAGTACTAGGATCATACAATGACTCCTGGGATAGAGTTGGGAGGATACTGCTGATTTGTCTAACTTTCTGTATTAGGAGGAGAAATAACTGGGAGATAGATGACATTAGATCTAATCTCCGACCATTGACATGTGTTCTCCTTCTTTCTGTGACTATCACAGCATTCAAGACAGTCTCGTCATGGAATAAGGTCTGTCACGAAAAGCTTTGTGAGTGAGCAGGCCTCTCCTGTCGAGGGTCAAATATTTCTCAGAAAGGCGAGAGAATTTCTAAGTGCTTGCCTCTTATGCCCTTTGAAGTAGGCTTATCCTCAGCAAGTCACACGTTGTCTAAAGAGGTGCTTTTCAGTGAAGTAAAAATAAAAACCCCAAACTCACTCCTATCTAGTTCATACCAACTCACAGTGATCCTGACTGTAACTGTTCACGGGAATAGAACGTCTCATCTTTCTCTACAGTGACTGGTGGGTTTGAACTGCAGACCTTGCAGATCGCAACCCAACTCATAGCAGCAACATTCAGGAGGGCTGATTCTTTCCCCCAAAGTAGTCTTTCGTCTTTATTATCAATAATGGGTTGCCAGCAGAGGCATCCTTTGAACAATTTTCTTTATCTAATAGATAACCAAGTGCTTCGAAGTTGTGGTTATTGTGGGTGTCAAGTTGATTCCAATTCTTACACCAAAACTGAACTCACTGCCATCAAGCCGATGCCGACCCAGCGACTCCCTGAGGGTTTTACGAGAGTGGAAAGCTCAGACTTTCTCCCGCAGAGTGACTTGTGGTTTCAAACTGCTGACCTTGGAGATGGCAGTCCAAGGCATAGCCACTCTACTGACAGACTGAAACGCCCTGCAAGAGTTCTTACCCAGGAACCTTCGTCGGAGCGGATCGCTAGGTCTTGTCTCCTGGGGAGCCACTAGGGGGTTCACACAGCCTAACTCTTTCTAAGCAGCTGGTCACTCAACCCTTGTACCACTGGGGCTCTGAGATGGGCGATTAAGAAATCTTTTCAAGGCTCTCTGCCTAGAGATTTTCTAGAAGAGGGCAGCGTTTGACACTTTCCAAGGTGATTTAAATGATCATCTATTACGTAGAAGCCGAATGGTATCTTAAAAACGCAGGACAAGCTCTAAAATAAAATGTTCATCTGGTACCTGCATGCCGTCTGCCCCTGGTCCACACTCCTCTACCTTAGTAACAAATATGCTGTAAAATTGGCCTTGAGTCCCAGTCAGCAATGTAAATAGATGGCTTGAAATGACATTCCTTATGCAGCTCACTAGCCTCCATTTTGCGTGCCACGGCGCAAATAGGCAAATAGAGGTCTAAATTCACAGCAATGATCTGACAACAAAGTCATATGCCATAAATCCATATTTACAATCTGACCACAACACTGAGCAGCTACATGCTCCCGCGGGTTGGAGAATAATTGCACTCTTTAATTATGTTTGAGTCAGTTTTGCTCTGTCCCTTACGAGAAGACCATCTGTTAGCCAGTACTGTACTTTGCCCTGTGCCACGTTTAGAGCGAGTGGCATCAGCACTTGTCCCTTCACTTGTGTGGCCGGCACCGCTGTCTGTAGGCTCCGGTGACGTTTTCAGTGCACAGACCGGGGTGCTTCACCTCAGTGCTTCCCCTCATCCTTGGTGGTCACTTTGTCTCCCCCGAAGCTGTCCGATTTCATGGGTCTGAATAGTCCAGGCGGAGAGGGTATTTGATGTGGGCGAACCAGCGATCCTCCTTCGCCAGGGCTCAGGAGTGCCTGAGCAGTGAGAGCAGGTCGCCCATCCATCACCCTGCCACGGAGTTCCTTGGGCTTTTTCTCAGTGTCCCCAGTGCAGTCAGCTGTGATGAAGCTGTTACTGATCAGAACGAAGGAAACATCTAATAAATAGTTAACGCTATAGATTTGTAAGAGTAGGGGCTGAGCACACCCTGCTTCCTTGTGAGACTTGCAGTTCCTGTCCACAGTCTCCTTTTGCATTATTGTTTAGAGATTCTTTGAAGAAAGCGTCTCTGAGAAAGAGTTGTTTCATCTGAGGGCCACCACCTACCCCACCCAAAATCATGCCAGTAGGAATGCTTCCCATGTAGCATACCTGGTCGAAGTTCTTTTTTAACGTTTTATTTGAAAATGATTTCATTTTTAAAACTGGAACCAGAAATTCAAGAAACACGCCGTCACATTTGTGATTTTTGTTGTTGGCTAATTCATTGAAGATATAAAAATGTCAAACCACTATATGTATAATAACAGTCTAATTATCTTGCTTCCAAGGGGTACATCATTATATTGCTTAAACTTGTTATCTGCCTACCATCCACCTCCTTCTTTACGAGTGATGTTTAAATGTGTCGGGTACATTAAATGTTTTTGGAAAACCTGGACTAGACTTGAGAGAATGTTATGTCGATGGAGTTTTGATGGCTTTGAAATATAGCTTAAACTGAATGGCTCAAGATGTGCAGTCATATTAAATCAATGCTGAAAAGTTACAACGGCAATAAATTGTATTTATGCTAATGGTTGAGTCTGATTTACTGCGGCCATTAAGAGTGAAGAATAGGGGCAACAGTCTTCTCCGAACTGCCATTTCCTCTATTTTCGATTTTATTCTTCCACAGCTCCACAAAGTGTGCCAACTCCCTCCAGAGCCCGCAGCATAAACGGATATAGCATGGAGGTGACTTGGGAGAAACCTGTTGTGGTTCCAGGCATAATTGAGAAGTACATTCTGAAAGCATACAGGGAGGACCAGCCCCAGCCATCTCTGCTTCCCTCGGCCAGTGCTGAGTTGGTCAATACCAGCATCTTCACAGGTAACAATTGCTTCAAGGGTATCGTTTCCATGTTCTTTTTAAAATAAAATGGTTCCAGCTTCCATCTCCAAGTACATTCATGCATTAACACATTAATATAAATTTATATTACACATGCAATTGGTAACACATATATGATATATGTCTTCTGCTTTAAATCAACAACAGCAACAAAAGTGTAATGTGTTGACAGCCTGTATCTCCCCAGGATAAGAAGGACATGTCTGCAGTATGCTTAGATGACTGGATCACAAGGCTGATATTCTCCCTGTGCCCCAAAGATGAAGTTGTGGGTGGCTCTAGCCAGTTAACACCCCAGCAGCAGTATTTTGGGGATCCTATGTCTACGCTACACAGCATCAGCTTACCTATTTCACTGTGCAAAATTTACTCTTTGGGACCAGCCCCAGTTCACACCACCATTTATTATTGTAAAATTGCTCATTAAACCTAATTATTTCAAGGTGGAGGAGTCTGAGGGCACCAGCAGTTTGACTGTCACTTCGGTGAATCGATTTTTCACAGTGTGGCCTGCCACGCAGAGCGATTAGAGGGTAGCGCCCTCGTGCCAGTGGACTAATCCGTTCCACGCTCCAGGATGGGCCTCTGTAGTAAGACAGCCATTTTCCGTTTCAGGAACTGCTAAAACACACTTACACGGAAAGTCACATTTAAGTCTTTGCCCAGAAAACAAAGGCAAAGGGTATCAATACATTTGATAGAAAAAACGGGTTCCTCCCTAGATAACTGTACATTGAAATTTTATGTAACTTTTAGAGTAGTTTTAATCATCTTTCCAATATACCTTTCTTCAGCAAACCCATCTCATTGTTTAAATCTTGCCTATATTTGCTTTTGGAGGCCTGGTGGCCTAGGGATTCTGGGTTGGGCTACTAACCAAAAGGTCAGCAGTTCTAAACCACCAGCCACTCCATGGGAAAAGGGTAAGGCTTTCTACTCCCATAAAGAGTTACGACTTGGAAACTTACTGGGGCAGTTCTGCCCTGTCTAAAAGGATCACTATGAATTGGTATTGACTCAATTATAGTTACGTGTATTTTTTTCTTTTTCCTTTTGTATCTACAATCCAACCATGCCACAAATTTTTAAAATCTCACCTTCATCTTTTTCTTTATATTTTATAAACATGGTAAAAATCAGCCTAGATTAAGCCCATGGCTCCCCTTTGCTCAAGTTGTGCATGGGAACTAACAGGCTGGAAAAATTCACTGACAATTCTCGACTTCCAGAATCAAATGGCCCCTCCAATAACAATACTGAAGTTGCCATATTTCTATACACACCCCTTCTTTCATTCCCCATATGAAATGTATTATATTTGCCATATTACCTAGATGCTAACTTCTCTTCATTCACCCACCCTCTACTGATGATCTTATATATAAAGTCACTTTAGACACCAGAGAGAAAACAGGATCTATCTTATGGGAATTCCGCCTCTTTCTTCCTACCGAAGATACACATTTAGTTACATTCTCATGCCTTAGAGAGTTATTATTAAAACGAAATAAGGTAATATATACCCAGATGCTTGTACATTGCTGGCATGTACTAGACAATTGCTATCACTACCCTTATTTTGACTTTTCTCGGTTTTTCATTCACATTATTATGGTGCTTCCTTTTCTTACCCAGACTAAATTCTTGACAATTACTCTTGAATCCACTTCTCCCTATCTTTCAGTGAGAGGATATCTTTTCTTCACTTATATTTTTTAACCTTTCTCTCTCCTGCCATGACTCACAAATGTGGTCCCAGGACCAGCAGCAACAGCACAATCTAAGATGTTGCTGGCCTGCGAATCAGAATTTCTGAGGCTGGAGCTCAGCCCTCCATTGCTTCTAATGATCACTGAAGTTTGGGAACCACTAATCCCCTGGATTCTTCCCCTGCTCATTACGTTCTCTCGAGTAGCTTCTGTTTTCAAACACACAACACACGCACGCACGCACGCACGCACGCACGCACACAACCCACCTCAACCCAGTGAGCAGTTATTGCTCCCTTTCTTTGCTCCCATCCCTGTAGCTCACAGAAGGCGTGTATGCAGCTGTCTTCATCTCTTCTCCTCCTCGGGCAGCTGCTTTCTTATTTTGCTAAGGACATATCAGCGTCCACGTGGTCATGGCTAACGAGTACTTTACAGGCTCACCTATCCTGCTCCACAGCAGCCAACACCATACTTCCCCCATCATCTCCTGAAATATTTCTTCACTTCCATGATTTTCGTGTTTCTTTAAGGCTAACATAACCTTTTTAATTTTTTAAAGTTTTTTTTTTTCTTTTTGCGGTCTCCTTTTAACTTTACACTTGATTTTGAAGAGCTTCAGAGTGTAGACCTCTTTCTCTCTTTTCTAAAGTATTTATCTAGGATATGTCTTTAATACTCCACATGTCACTTAATAATAAGACTAATACCATATAAACTAATTTGGGTAAAAACTAAAAAAATAGTAAATCTACTGTCATCAAGTCAATTCCTATTCATAGTGACCTGATATAGGGTTTCTGAGATTTTCATCTGAGAATTAAAATCTTTAGGAAACCAACCTCCTTTGTCTCCTGTGGGGTGGCTGGTGGGTTTGAACTACTGACCTTGTTGTTATTCCCACAGAGCTTACTTTACTGAACCACCAGGGTAGCTTAACAGTCATATATATTCTGTTTTTGTTGTTTGCCTCCTTTCTTCTGTGGAGGCCCATGGGCCATTGTTATCCATACGATATTCATTGGCTGATTATTTGGGAAATAGATTATCAAGCCTTTGTTCTTAGTCTGTCTTAATCTGAAAGCTCCTTTGAAACCTGATCAGCATGGTACCAACCTGTAAGCCTCCACTGAGAGATAGCTGGTAGTTGTGCTGGGGTGAACTGCCTGGGGAATGTAGCATGGGTATCCCACTGCTCATCTGTGAACATGATTGACAAGCCAATGCTTGTCTCACCTAGACATTTAAATGGCTTCATTCAACAGACCAATGAATAATACATTGGCATTTCTATATGGATATTTCATATTCTCTGGTTAATGTATTCAAACCCAAACTTGTTTCTCTTGAATTTTTTCTGCAGGGAAGTACAATAGATTTCTTTAGATATTATAGTCATCTTTGCCTTATATGCTGCAATCTATTACCTATGAGAAGGAGGGCATTCCCCACCCCCCAAAAAGGAATTTTTTTCAAAGCTGTGTTTTCAATTTTTTTTTTTTATAAAACAACTTTATCACGTTTAAACACTTAATACATTTGTGAAATCTGAAATTCCATTCTTGGAAAAAATTTTCAAACTCATTTCTTTGGATGACTGCCGGCACCTCCCTCATATTTTTCTTCAGATTTTAAGCATCAGCCTATCTCTGTTCTTTCATGTCCCTTTTCATTCAGGGAAACAAAAAGAAGTCACACAGAGCAAGGTCAGGTGAGTAAGATGCATGGGGCAAGAGAGGCATGCTGGGTTTTGCCAAAACCTGGTGCACTGAGGTGGCTGACTGTGCAAGTGCAATGTTGTAGAGGCAAAAGCAGTCCCCTCTCTGCCACAAATCAGGCCCCTTTTTTTTTTGCACATGGTTATGTAATATTATCAGAACCTTTAAATAGAAAGCTTGAATAACAGTCTGACCTGGTGGAACAAACTCCTCACATAAAAAAATAAATGAGCATCATCTTGATCTTTGATTATCACCTGACAAGCTTATTTTTGGTGAGGTGATGATGGCGTCTTCCACTGGCTCGATTGATGTTTGCTTTCGGGTTCATAAGAATAGCACTATGTCTCCTCACCAGTAATGACCTTGGAAAAAATGTCTGGGTCACCATAGAGCTGTTCTTTCAAAACATGGCATGTTTCCATTGATGCTCTTTTTTCCTGGTCAGTCAAAATCTGAGGCACAAATTTTGCAGCGACTCTTCTCATTCCCAAATCTTCTGTTAAAAATCTCTGAACCAAGGTCCCAGTTAGTCCAGATAACTCCCCTATCTCTTCAGTGGTCTGTTGTTGGTCTTCGAGCACAAGTGTACAAATTCTGTCGACAGTTTCGTCAGTTTGGGACGTTGATGAATGTCCAGGATGAGGTTTGTCCTCAGTCGTCATTTCACCTTTTCTGGAAAGAGAAAACCACTCATAAACTTGATTCCCCCCATAGCTCAGACCTTGTAAGCTGTGTTCAACCTAACAACAGTTTCTATGACATTTTTCCCAAACAGGAAACACAATCTCACAGCCGCATGCTGTTCTCTTAAATTAGCCATTACAAAAAACGAGGTTCAATGAAACTGCTTTTATGAACAAATTCACTGTGCCCAGAGAGAACCTTCCCAGGTGACGCCACTCAGAGCAAGTTGCTGGATGCTTGTCTAGCTAGCGAGAAAAATCCATACTATGAAAGCTCTGCCCAGTGGAGATTTTTTTCTGTTTTGTGGGGGGAGGTACCCCCTCATATAATTGTCATTTTTCTTTTCTTTATACTTGTTTTGTCTTAATGTAGAAATCAGTAAATAACTTGGCCAAGCAGTCACTCCAACTTGAGAGTTAATGTAACTCTTCATCTTCTTCACACCTCATCTCCACGTCTGTCCTTTCATTTTCCAAAGTGTTTGTTTCATTTTTCCATGTTACCACTTAGCTCCTGTCCAGGCCAAGCCATTGGGACCCCTTTCTTAGCTATCTGCAGACCCTTTTCCGCCATCAGTCTATTCCACCTAAGGATCAGAGCCTCTGTCCCTCCTCTCAGTATCTGTTGATTGCTTTTAATTGCGCCTTTCCAATCTTCTCTCATCTTTTCACTCGTTCCCATCATTTTCTGGGCTTCCAGCGTTTGCAATTACAATATGACATAGACTCCCTGATAACAGGATAAATCCTTGGATGTAGAATAACTGGGTAAAAAAAAAACCCTCAAACCCTTATATAGTGTTGGATTTGAGTCAAAAACCATACACATCTCTGCCAAACTTTCTCTCTGTAACTTTGGAGAGGTT